AATGCTTCAGCTTGGAACATTACACACACTGACATTGGCAGTCCAGAACTCTGCCCCGGGCTGGTAATGTCAATTCTGTGCATAAATTACATCTATTGTCAGCGACGCTAAAATCTTCCTGAAGCTAGCTCTCCGCTCCCTACCTGTGGGTGCTCCCTTTCGCCTCCCTCTGTCGCTCATTTGTTTATGTTTTTTTTAATAAACCCTCCCCCTCCTTCCCATTCCCTTGTCTTTGCCTCTGAGCTGGCGAAATGGCCCAATCACAAGCTTCTCTATGCCAATCGATTGGATCGTGTGTGGTCCTAGTGAAGTCAGGAGGGGGCGCAGAAGAGCAAAACCGGGAGATTCAGCCAGCGCTGGATTCAAGGTAAGTAAAACCGTTTTTTTTGTGTGTTATCTATTCCTTAATTTGCATTTTATGTAGACTTTGGTCTGTATGGCTGCACAACTGCAGAGAAAGGCATGTCCCGGGTGTGCCCCAAATTCCCTTTTTTCTATGTATGTTTCAGAGTCCAGACCAGATTCCTATTGCGTTGAGCACCCCGTCCTTACCCCCCAGCTTCAGATGCCCCTTTTGAAGTAACCACAGGAAAGTATATTGTCTGGAATTCAAAGTAAATTTAAAATTTTATGCCAAAATGGCAGAACAGAAAACAATAGAGGATTGCACTTGGAGTTTTTTTCCAATTTAACAATTGTAACATAAATTCGTAAACTCACTAATATTTCACTTTGAAATCCAGACAATTCACTGACAGACTGGACAGCCGAGAAGCTAGATGTCTCCATATGAAATCAATTCAAATGGGGTGGAGTTTGGACACAGATGAATAATGAAAAAATGCGATGGAATTTAAATGTAACTTTTACAGGGACTCATTCCGAGCACCATAAACACTGCAATAAATCGTATAAGATGCAGTGGTTATTGTGTGCCTTTAAATTATATTTTGCTTGCTAGATTCATCACTTTATTAAAAAAATATATAGAAATAGAACGAGAAGAATGACATATTTATTAAATCAGTAGGCGCTATGTCGTTTGCTAGCAGACAATTAAGGGTACAAAAACAAAATTCATGTTTAATTCTCTCTTACAACAAACAGTTCCAGAGGCTGCTGGCAATTATGTTCTGCCGGTGAGAGTGGTCTGTTACTGTCAAATTGTATGATGCAATAAGGGTGATTTATTACACTGTGTGCAGAGTGTACATGTTAATAATATATAGGGGAATACCTGTCAGACACACTCCGTATCAGATAACCCGTATAAAGTGTTCATCAAAAGAATGGTGGAAAAACATTAACCGTCACTCCAGTTATTAGCTTCCCCACATTTTTTTCTAATTGGGAAGAATACACACTAAATAAATAAGATAATTAAATGAAAAATAATCTAAAACAGTTTTATTGCTTTGGCAGGAATTTCCCAGGATTTGCATCTTCTACAGTGAGCTCTCTCGAAGATCAAGACGTGTCTGAAACCTCTCTGTTATCCCTGGACCTTTCAGGATAAATGCATTAAGATGTAAAATAAATAATGGATATCCATATTGAGGTTCTGGCATCTTCTACAAAACCCAGAGTTTGCCGTTTCTGCAGTAAATTTATAATCCTAGGCGTTGCTAAAAAAAAAATCTGGGCCAATCCCGATCCTCCAAATTATTTCAATAAGCGATCTGAGCGTATTGTACAAATCTTGCCATGGCCGAGTAATTCCTCCTTAGACGCCACCGCTCCAGCGGGTAGTCTTCTGTTTGTGGGATTTTTACAAATGACTGCAGGTACAAGGCGCTGTGTGCAGGGAGACAGGAAGCCTGGTACTCCCTCCATTTTTACATTTTTAATGAGAATTAGTTAGTTCAGTGCCTACAGTTACCCTTGACATATATGTTTCCCAAACAAGAAATTATGACAATATATTGCAAAAGGCTGGGAAACTATGGGAAAATGTAGCTGTGAAAACATCTAGTCTGCCAAACATAGCAATCACTAATCTAAAATATATAGTTTACTGTGAATATGATCTTCACACTAACATCACCAAAACGTGTAGCAAAGAGATATTTTGCTGTAGAGCGATTTATGACGTCTTTAATACATCTCCCCCATCGAGTCAAATAAAATGTAGGAAAGATTTGGGTAAAGAAAGGAGGATTCCCACAGGACCGAGCGCCTGGATTGCAGTCTAGAAAGAGAGAGAGACATAAATAATGCAAAGGGAAAAACACTACAGAGGGAAAGGTTTATAAAATTAAAAAGTTAATAATACTGAAATAAGTGAAAGACTTCAATCACAGCATGCGATTAACTCTGTTTGCTGGATCTGCAATGCTGCACGTTGATAAATACTTTATTGCGCGCAAACGTGCTGGGGGATACTCAACTTTGGGAATAGACAGGTCTCTAAGCTTGCAGGCTTTTGTTTATTATTATTATTTATAAAGGGCCAACACGTTCCGTAGCGCTGTACAATGGGTGAACTAACAGACATGTAGTTGTAACGAGACGAGTTGGACACACAGGAACAGAGAATTGAAGTCCCTGCTCAATGAGCTTACATGCTAGAGGGAGTGGGGTATAGCTACACAAAATGTAAGGGTAGGGTAGAAAAGTAGGGTGCTAGGATAGTGTTCATTGGGAGCTTAGTGTTTTGTTTTGATGACGGTTTCAGGAGAGGAATCAGGGTGCGGGGAGGGAAAGCTGTTCACAGTTTTAATGATTTACTTTCCTGATGAAGTAAGTTTTCAAAGACTTTTTGAAGGAGTGGAGATTGGGTGAAAGTCTAACAGAGAGGGGAAGGGTGTTCCATAAGAATGGTGCAGCCCTAGAGAAGTCTTTAAGGTGAGCATCAGAGGTAGGAGTACGAGCAGAGATTAGACGTAGGTCTACGGCAGAGCTTATGGGCCAAGATGGGACATATTTGTGTATTGGTGAGGATAAGTAGGTCGGAGCAGCATTCTGTAGAGATTTATATTATAGGCAAGTATCAGGATCTTAAATTGAGTCCTATATCTTACGTGCAGCCAATGTAGGGCCTCCATACCGAATCCTATTTAGGGAATAGTAAAATTAAAATACCAGATATCTGCTCGGGGTAGAATAACGGGCCAGATAATGAGAATGGGAATATTAACTTAAATGGAAAAATTAGTCAAATAAAATAAGAAGTAGGAATATGTATTCTCTAAAAGATATCTATATATACACATATCATGGTTAAAAGAATACTTGAGTGGAAGGTATTTCCAATTTCTATAGTGTATGGGTTTATCTTCCCATACTTTACGACGGAGATTTCAATTTCTCTGTCTGTGACAAATAATACCATTCCTATCTGTACACTTACTGTACCTCTTGAAGTCAAGTAGCCTAATTTCTGTATACTTACTGCACTTACCACTGCTCATCATTTTTAATCTGTATACCTACTGTACTTACTGTAACTCCTCTAGATTAATGTCTGTATACTTACTGCACTTACCATATCTAATCATTTCTAATCTGCATTCCTACTGTACTTACTGTACGTCCTCTATATTAATGGCTGTATCCCTACTGTACTTACTGTACCTCTTCTAGACTAATGGCTGTGTACTTACTGTGCTTACTGTACCTCCTGTAGTCAAATGTCTGTATACTTACTGCACTTACCACTCCTCATCATTTCTAATCTGTATACCTACTGTACTTACTGTACGTCCTCTATATTAATAGCTGTATACCTACTGTACTTACTGTACCTCCTGTAAACTAATGGCTGTATACTTACTGTACTTACTCTATCTCCTCTAGACTAATTGCAGCATACATATAATACTTACTATATCTTCTCTAATCTAATGTCAGTATACTTACTATACTAACTGCGCCTCCTCTAATTTAATGCCAGTATACTTACTATATTAACTGCGCCTCCTCTAATCTAATGTCAGTATACTTACTATACTAACTGCGCCTCCTCTAATTTAATGCCAGTATACTTACTATACTAACTGCGCCTCCTCTAATCTAATGTCAGTATACTTACTATACTAACTGCGCCTCCTCTAATCTAATGTCAGTATACTTACTATACTAACTGCGCCTCCTCTAATCTAATGTCAGTATACTTACTATACTAACTGCGCCTCCTCTAATCTAATGTCAGTATACTTACTATACTAACTGCGCCTCCTCTAATCTAATGTCAGTATACTTACTATACTAACTGCGCCTCCTCTAATTTAATGTCAGTATACTTACTATACTAACTGCGCCTCCTCTAATTTAATGCCAGTATACTTATTATACTAACTGCGCCTCCTCTAATTTAATGTCAGTATACTTACTATACTAACTGCGCCTCCTCTAATCTAATGTCAGTATACTTACTATACTAACTGCGCCTCCTCTAATTTAATGCCAGTATACTTATTATACTAACTGCGCCTCCTCTAATTTAATGCCAGTATACTTACTACACTAACGGCGCCTCCTCTAATCTAATGTCAGTATACTTACTATACTAACTGCGCCTCCTCTAATCTAATGTCAGTATACTTACTATACTAACTGCGCCTCCTCTAATCTAATGTCAGTATACTTATTATACTAACTGCGCCTCCTCTAATTTAATGTCAGTATACTTACTATACTAACTGCGCCTCCTCTAATTTAATGCCAGTATACTTATTATACTAACTGTGCCTCCTCTAATTTAATGTCAGTATACTTACTATACTAACTGCGCCTCCTCTAATCTAATGTCAGTATACTTACTATACTAACTGCGCCTCCTCTAATTTAATGCCAGTATACTTATTATACTAACTGTGCCTCCTCTAATTTAATGCCAGTATACTTACTACACTAACGGCGCCTCCTCTAATTTAATGTCAGTATACTTACTATACTAACTGCGCCTCCTCTAATTTAATGCCAGTATACTTAGTATACTAACTGTGCCTCCTCTAATTTAATGCCAGTATACTTGTTTTGTCTGTATGGCCACTGTAAGTATGAGCTGGCCCCAGCACTTATAGCTTATCATTACAAGCTTAGCCCGGTTGGAGAGATAAAACAAAACTGAAACTTCTATGTTACTGAAACGGCAGCAGAGGGACAGAGAATTAGGTGGCAAGAGATCCCAGGATCTGAAAACAGTTTGACAAAAAAAATAAAAAAAAGGGACAGCACCCAAGCCATTCCAATAAATGCAAAATTTGATAAGCTGTAGTGGTTATAGTGCTTTGAAATGAACATGTACGAAATCTAATTTTTTTATTTTGTATATGCTGATCTCTGGCTGCGAAAGAGCTTTGCAGAAATTAAAGCTTTAACCCGTAGTGGAAGTAACAGAAGTCCAGAAGTAATGTTTTTACAGACGCAGTATGGAAGATGCTGCAGTTAAGTATTTATCAGCAGCAGAGACGATTTGTCTTGACTTGGTTTTCTAAATTAAGATGCCTGGATGGGCATGGTGACATGACACGTATTACAGGAACCGTGTCACTCGTGGACGAGTCTAGTGCAGCTCGGAGCATTACACATGTTTCTTACACAGTCTGTGGCTAATTGCTTAGCTTTTCAGACCGTAACATTGAAATTCCCTTGTAATTGCTAGGCTTGTAATAGAAGCATCTGTTTGCCTCCTTTTCTCTCTCCTTAGGATTTTTCTGTAATTTCCAGGTTGCTTTTTACTATGCCGAGAGGTAGGCAATATATTCTGACTTATATCCTCTAAGCCGTGACTTTATGCACATTAAGGGAGCCTTCTGTCATTTTTTTTACAAGAATGCTGAATGTTTGATATGCAAAGTTAGGCTCTCTCTCCTTCTTAGCACGTCATTGCACCTGACGCACTCCACTCTAGTACCGAACCTTAACATAGAGAGGTTAAAAGGAGACACTGTATCAAGGCAGACGTTTTATCGAGAGGATTGTGTCAGATACATTGTGTCAAAATGTTGCTCAACGTGGACTGCCTTGATGGAGATCTCAAAGAGATTATCTGATAACAAAACAGCAGGAAAGGAGAAGTCACGCCATTTCAGTACTTCAAACTGACCTACTTGGCGATGTGTACTAAAGTGGGAATTGTGGAGACATGTCAAGAGAATCGCAAATGTTAGGCTGAGTCCAAGTCAAAGTTGGAGAATTTTCCATTTTGGCTATTGGACTAAAATATTCAATTTGTTGGCCATTTCTGGATTGTCGAATAAGCCCACTTGTGGGTTTTTTATTATGTTATTTTATCTTATCTCCTCCTGGGTGGAATGCATCAAAAATGTCTTTAAAAAGCCTCTTTTGGTAAAACAGAGACTTGACTAGGGCATGTCAAAAAATAGAAATATAATGTATACCGTATGTCACTTTTAAAGTGGACCTTTCATTTTCCCAAATTTTAGGAGTTGGAGATTTTTTTCCAGCTCAGCTATTTTAGCATTAATTCTGACAATAGCAGGTTAATTCACTGAAGTGAGAAACCTAAGTGAATTCAAAGTTAATTTCAAATTTAAAGTTAAAGTAGCCCTATTGGAAGAATTCTCTGAGTCAGGTATGCTCTCAGTTTGACTATTCCGGCCTTAAATTTGAAATTCACTATAAATTCACTTTGAATTCTCGTTTTAGTAAATAACATTGTAGGCTACCTATGTATGTCTTTAAAACTCCATATTTCGTATATAATTCCTATATATTAACAAATGATCGTTATTAACGAAAGTCTGATGACTTACAAAAACATCCTCTTCTGTTATTTCAACTCTCGGATTTTGTCAGTAAACGCTAGTTTTTCAATTTGCTACAAATCACCATTTAGTGGATGAACCCCATAATTTTCCTATGTCGTTAGTTTTCAAGTAATCATACTCCTAGACTAAGCTTTTAAATGAAATAAATTTCAAAGTGTGTCTCCTGGTAAAATTCCTGATAAATCATAATATTCAAAACCTTTCGACAGGCCACATTTTCCAGCGTTCGCTTTAGCGACAAATCAAAGTAAAGTAAAGCTAACCTGTCATCTAATAATGTTATTCATATTTATCTTCAGATGTGTTCTTAAGTAGTTTAATCGAATTTTTTGTTTTATTCAAATGTCATAGTTACATAAAAAGCTGTTTTTTGAGCACTGAGCTCTTCTGATTAAGTACACTATGCCGGAAAATGTGCAAACTCTTATCTTCATAATAAAGTTTGACTTAAAGAAAAACTCCAGACACATAGAGCACTTCAGATTGCTAAAGCTTTATGTCTCTGGAGTCTGTAATAAGTGTTTATAGTTTATAAAAGGGCCAGTTTCAATAGAAATTGACATTTATAACTGAGGCAGAAATACCTCCTTGGCTGCCAATCAGACAGCCAGAGAGAGTTCCTTCCGCATCCAGTAGATCCACAGACCTAGAGCATGCCTGTCTTCCCCCTTTGAGTACTATATACTTGGTCAGCTTGCACTGTTGGGCACGCCTCTCAGTTAAGGGCATTTTTTCAGCCTCCACTCCTCCCTCTTACTTGGCTGCTAATGACAGAAACAGGACACCACTGTGCATTGTCTCTGCAACAACGCAAGGAGAAAGAAACTCAACAGCTGCCCTACAGAAATCACACTGATCACTCTGGCCTCTGACAGTACACACCATAATGTGCAGTGCATCAGACTCCCTCTCTTTTCCCCCTGTCAGGATGTTACAAGGTGAACAGATCTTTCAGCTGTACATATGTAACTCTGTCAGGCACCTCAATACAGTTTTCCAGCATTCCTAGGGATAGGGAACTGATTGGCTAAATCAGTGTAGCCCCTGGATGGGTGCAGGAAGCATAAGAAAGACAAAGCGGGTAAATATAAGGACAATATCATATTTACCAGCTTTTTTTAACCCTGCATAGACAGAGAGCTGTCTCATATAAAGCTAAAGCTTTCGAACGAGACAATTGTCTAGGAACCCTAAATGCAGTAAGCATTGTACAACGTGTGCTGTTTTCTTCAATCTAGAACATTAATATTTAGGATTTAACATTGTCATTCAACTGTGCTCATAAAACGTCAATCAATAGGTACCTCCCAAGCTGGCAAAGGATTATTGGAATTGTAGTTTAGCTTTAGAGGAGCTATCTTTATCTTAAAAAGATCATTTTGATGCATTTTCTGTTCATGGCTTCTCTGTATTAATCTTCCAGCAGGTTTTAATTGCATATTGGTTTTAACGAGCTGGCATTCAATATCTTTAGGTACTGTTTTCATAGAACCGATAGGCTGCCCTATAAATATTTAGCAAATGATCTAGCAAAAACATTTATTTTTTTTTGCTTTATTTTTTTCCCAACTTCTTCAATAATTATGCTCTTCCCTATTTCTGAATTTACATAAAAAGTAATAAAGGCAAATCAAGATAAATGCAAATAAATGGAGGCACAGCAAAGCGTAATGATATACATAGAAAGATACATTCTATTAATTCAAATAACATCATTCCCTGGAGCCTTCGTATTCGGAGTTCTCTATTTCTCCTATCTGTCTGGCTGGCTGGTTTGAAATGTACAGAGATGCTTTTTTTCTTGGTCCTTTTACTTCTGAAACCTATAATAAAATAGACTATGGCTTTTATTCACTAAACCAGGAATCAAACAGAAGTGACAAGGAAATTGCCATTTTTAGGACAAAATGGATGAACTAGAAAAATG